AAAAAAAAAAAAAAGAAAATGAGAGTATCAACAAGGAGATAGAAATTCCAAAAAAAGAGCTAAACAGAAATCTGGAGTTTAAAAATACAATAACTGAATTGAAAAGTTCACTACAAGGGTTCAACAGCAGACTCCAGCAGGCAAAAGGGAGAATCAGCAAACTTAAAAATAGGTCATTTGAAACTGTCAAGTATGAGGTGCAAAAAGAAAATAGAATGAATAAAAGCAAACAGAGTCTAAGAAACTTATCAGACACCATCTAAGTATACCCATGTATCCATAATGGGAGTTCTGGAAGTGTAAGAGAGAGAGAGTATTTGAAGAAATACTGGCTGAAATTTTCCAAATTTGAGGAAAGATGTGGATCTACTAATACAAGAGCCTCAGTGAACTCTAAGTAGGAAAATCCCAAAGGAACCTGCACTGAGACACATTATAGTCAAACTGTGAGAAAGACAAAGAGAAAATCTCATCCTTGGAAGTTTCTTAGATGTCAGTTTTAAAATAGTATTCCTGATGTTTTCTTTGTGGTAATAATTAACTCTTCCTTTCTATTTCTTTGTGAGCTAGTTTTGATACATTATATTTTTCTAGGAATCTCTCCATTTTCTCTAAATGTTCAAATTTCTTAGCATAAAGTTGATAGTAATCATAACTTTTTCTTTCTTCTATATCTGTAGGTATGTCTCTTCTTTATTTCTAATATTATTTCTTTAAGCTTTTTCTCTCTTTCTAGATTAATCCTGCCGGACGTTTCTCTATTAGTCTTTTCAAGAAATGACTTTTGCCAGGCACAGTGGCTCATGCCTTTAATCCCAGCACTTTGGGAGAACAAGGCAGGAGGATCACTTGAGCTCAGGAGTTTGAGACCAGCCTGGCCAACATGGTGAAACCCCGCTCTACTAAAAATATAAAAATTAGCCAGACATGGTGGCACACACGTATAGTCCCAGCTACTCGAGTAGCTGAGGCAGGAGGATCACTTGAGCCTGGGAGGTTGAGGCTGCAGTGAGCTACAATTGCATCACTACACTCCAGCCTGGGCAACAGAGCTAGACTCTGTCTCAAAAAAAATAAAATAAAATTGTTTTTATAAATCTTCTCTATTAAATCTTTGTTTTCTATTTATTTATTTCAATGTTTATTATCTCCTTTTTTAAAAAATGGGGTTTTTTTCGTGTTTTTTTTTCTTTAGCCTTTTTTTTTTTTTTTTTTTTCCTTTCCCCTGATGGCTTTAGGTTGGAGTCTTGGTTTGTCATTCTTTCATGTTCTCTAATACAGTATAAGCTGTTGTTTCTAAATGCCTCTAAAGTGCCCACTTTTGCTGAGTCTCACCACTTTTGGAGTATTTTGTGTTTTTTTTTTTTAACCATTCTCTTGTAAGTCATTTTTAATTTCACTTAATTTGAATTCCCCTTTGACTTGTGAGTTTTACTCAATTATTTTAGTCAGAAAACATGATGTATTTTAGGAGTTCGCGAACTTTTCTGTAAAGGACCAGATAGTAAACATTTCAGGCTTTGCAAAACCATACAATTTCTGGTCTGACTACAGCACTCTGGTGTCAGAGCCTCCCTGTTGGAGCGTGGGCTGCTTCTCCATCAAAGTTGGTTGTCAGCAGCAGCCATTCTCCTGCTTATCCTATCTCTAACAACTTCTGTGTTACTCAAACCTCGTATTTACACTTGTTCTTTACTGTCACTTCTAGTCTTGTTGCAAGTGTATCTGTCACTGTTAATTCAAGATCTTAGGCCTTCTCTTCCAGTGTTAAAGTTGTCTGACTGGTAGTTTTCCCTTTGGAGCAGCCGTACTGCTCAGGAGTCTGCTCTTTTGGTCTGTGCAGCAGAGACCCCAACTGGCAATGCTTGTTTCAGACTGTGGTGTGCCAATATGCCCTGACGTGGAGGATGTTTGGGCAACTAAACATAGTTTCGTCAGCATCCAAACATCCTCCACATCAGGGGATACTGGTACCTCATTTGTTTTACTGGAAAACTAAAGCCAGTCAGTGCCCCCCAGGCATATCCTTGCCCTGGGGCTTGACCCCAAACCCCTGGCAAATATCAGCATGAGGGGACAGCCCCTCCTGAATGGCCAGCCACCTGACCCTAAGCCTTGATGTTCTACTCTCATCCTGCCCTGGATGGTCAGGGCCCTGCTCAGTCACTGTAAGGTCAGCAGTGACTGTGCCCACAGATGGAGGAGCACTGGTCTCATCCTCCTTTATCCCCACGCTGTGTTGCTCCCACTCCACCTGCCACTTCATCCTGCATATTTGCCCCACAGCTCTCTCACAGTTTCTCACCTGCAGAGGAGTTGTTCTTTCCTTCTCCCGTGAGCAGACACAAGGTTCTCTGCCAGGCCAGGAAAGTCCCCACAATCTAGGTCTCCTCACTGACACTTGCACTCAGCTGTCACTCTGTCCACAGGGTCTGCGGAAGAGGGAGCTGCTGAAGGAGCTGCTGCCAGTCATCGGGCAGAACCTCCGATTCCAGCGCCTCTTCACCGAGTGTCAGGAACAGCTCGACATCCTGAGGGACAAATAGCCTGCCCCGGCCTGCCCTGGCTGCAGCAAGGGCAGGGCCACACTCTCGCCGCTGATGACACGCAGGGCCACCTCTCACCTGACCAGGCTGTAGGGGGAGGAGACACTGGCAGGAGATGTGCTGTCCTGCACCAGCGCCAGCCCAGCTCCCTGGGCAGATGTGCTCTGTGTCCTGGGCCTGGCATTGCCTCAGGAGGGGGAAGCTTGTCCCTCCCTCCTAGCCCCGCGTGCGGAGCTAGGGCTGGAGCTCTGCCCAGGTGCCCTGGGGCCAGCAAGGCACTCCCAGGCCTGCCGTCTCCAGCACGGCCCCAAGGTGGACACTAGCCCCTGCTGCTGCAGGTGCCATGCTGCTTCAGCGGTGACGATTGAGCCATTTGTGAGAGAGAATCTGGAAACGTTAGGTATTATGCAGTCAGCAGACTGACCTGAGACCTATGTAAAAGGAAAGCTGTTCCAACACACGGACTATTTTTGTACTAGAATTTGCTAACTTGTAATATGGAATTTCCTCTGGCCGATAATCAGGATTTCCCTATAAGTCACTTGGACATTGGTCACTTGTAGGAAATTTAAACTCTAATTATGACAGCTACACTGAAAAATAATTGTACTGAAATTAACTTGTCTATCTTCATTTGGTTTTAATTTTTAAATGTTTGTAAAAAGAGACTGTTTTGGGGGAATGGGGCAAAGGGGTGGGCGATTTCTTTTGTAAGTGTAAAATAAATGAACACGCATTGAATACCAAACCCTCCTGATTTCTCTTGCCTTTTCCTTCTAACTTTCATCCTCCCTGCATTGTGCATCTCTCTCCTGAAGTAGGTGGTGACAGAACATGAGAGCCAGAAGGGATCCTTTGTGTCATCTCATTCCCCCCTGTCATGGTTAATACTGAGTGTCAACTTGATTGGATTGAAGGATGCAGTATTGATCCTGGATATGTCTGTGAGGGTGTTGCCGAAGGAGATTAACATTTGAGTCAGTGGGCTGGGGAAGGCAGACCCACCCTTAATCAAGTGGGCACCGTCTAATCAGCTGCCAACGAATATAAAGCAGGCAGAAAACCATGAAGAGATGAGACTGGCTTAGCCTCCCAGCCTACATCTTTATCCCATGCTGGATGCTTCCTGCCCTCGAACACTGGACTCCCAAGTTCTTCAATTTTGGGACTCGAACTGGCTCTCCTTGCTCCTCAGCTTACAGACAGCCTACTGTGGGACCTTGTGATTGTGTAAGTTAATACTTAATAAACTTACATATATATTATATATATCTCCTATTAGTTCTGTCCCTGTAGAGAACCCTAATATATCCCCCATGCAGAAATTCATTTCACAGTGTAGAGTGGTCACTTCTGTGGTCACACAGCACCACAGGTTACCTTGCACATGTCATCTCCCAAGCGAGGCATCATGGTTCATGGTTCTGGTCTTGCTGTGTCCCAGGTTCAGACCATACTGTGCACCAAGGGTTGCAGCTGTTTGGACAATTTCATGAAAGGAAATCAGTATTTACAGTCTTGGACATATTGGAGAATTATCAGGAAAGTTAGAATTTTATTAGAAAGTGATCCAAATGATCTACAGGAGAAGAGATAGAATCACAGAATCTTTAAGCACAGTGAGGACTGAGTACCACCCACTCCTGGGTCCTGATCTTTATCACCACCACCTAGTGTGTGGGTCTGAGTCTGGGGAAGGAGTCTTGGACTTGGAATCAGAGGCCTGGGTAACTGACCACTGATCTCTGGCCTAGCAGCCATTCTACTCCATGTCTCACTCGTATGTCAAGTGACTGGATGAGACCCAGGCACGTGTGCATGCCAAATAAAGCCAGCATAGTGTGTGTGTGTGTGTGTGTGTGTATACATAAAAAGCCAGGCTGCACGCGGGACTTTTCCTTAAGGAATGAAGAGCCAGAGACTTGCTGTGCAGGTCAGGCAGCTCCCCTAGCAACTATGCAGCAAGACACTGAGAGCTTTGTGGAGCTCCAGGAAGCAATATATGCCAACAGGCCTGTCTGGGCCTCAGTTTTTTAGCTGTCAAATAGAGATTGAGACTAAAAAAATCTGCACTGGGGTTGGGCACAGTAGCTCACACCTCTAATCTCAAGAGGTCAGGAATTCGAGCCAGCCTGGCCAATATGGTGAAACCTCCGTCTCTACTAAAAATACAAAAATTAGCCAGACGTGATGGCACACACATGTAATCCCAGCTACTCGGGAGGCTGAGGCAGGAGAATTGCTTGAACCCGGGAGGCAGAGGTTGCAGTGAGCCGAGATCGCGCCACTGCACTCCAGCCTGGGCAACAGAGCAAGACTCCATTCCAAAAAAAAAAAAGAAAATCTGCATCGTTATGAGGACAAATTGGGATTGTGTGGGCAAAGTCTTGGCACGTTTCCTCCCTTGAAGGAAATGGCAGTCGTGAGTGACTTTACCACCACTGGAGATGATGAAGAGATAAGCAGAAAAACATCAAGGCCTTCAACTTACAGACAAGATGGAGTAACAGGGACCAGGTTGACCCTTCTACCTGAAACAACCAAAGGAGCCAGTCAAAATACATGCAATGGTGGTTTCAAGACACTGAATACCATGCTGGGCACAGTAGCATGTGCTTGGAGACCCAGCTACATGGGAGGCTGAGGTGGGAGGACCACTTGAGGCCAGGAGTTCAAGGCTGCAATTAGCTATGATCACGCCACTGCATTCCAGCCTGGGCAACACAGGAAGACCCCATCTTGAAGAAAAAAAAGAAAAAGGAAAAAACAGAAAAAGACATTCCAGGTAGTAGGCTTGGGCAATCGTGGGGCTCGCCTTGTTTGTATCCCATCTTGGCAGGGATTACTGTCCTTTGTTTTCTGATATCCAGAGAGAATTTCTGGACCACAGCAAGAGAAGGCAGAACTGAGGTAGAGCCCAGTGGACTACTTGAGCTGAGGAAATGGAGCTGAGAGTCCAAGGAGACTAAGGCAGCACTGCTTCAGATCCACCGAACAAAAAATAAAAGCAAGACCTAAAGTGATCACACTGTTTCCAAGTGACTTAATTACTTTGCAAAGCAAAGTTTGACATGATGTATAAGAATACAAAAATACCTAGGCAAAGAATTTATCACTACAGCTGGGCACAGTGGCTCACACTTGTATTCCCAGCACTTTGGAAGGCCAAGGTGGGTGGATCGCTTGAGGTCGAAGTTTGAGACCAGGCTGACCAACATAGTAAAACCCCCTCTCTACTAAAATACAAAATTAGCCAGGTGTGGTGGCGCATGCCTGTAATCCCAGATACTTGGGAGGCTGAGGTAGGAGAATCACTTGAACCCGGGAGGTGGAGGTTGCAGTGAGCCAAGATTGCACCACTGCACTCCAGCCTGGGCAACGAGAGTGAAACTCCGCCTCAAAAAAAAAAAAAAAATTAGCCAGTCATGGTGGCACACACCTGTAATTCCAGCTACTCAGGAGGCTGAGGCATGAGAATCACTTGAACCCAGGAGACAGGTTGTAGTGAGCCGAGATCATGTCACTGCACTTCAGCCTGGGTGACAGTGCGAGATTGTCTCAAAAAAAAAAAAAATTATGACTAAGAACTCAAAAGCAAATACAACAAAAAAGTAGACAAATTAGACAAACCAAAAAGCTTCTGTACAGCAAAAGAACAGTAACAACACATATCTATCAGAATGGCTTACATTTTTTAAAAAGACAATAATGAGTATTATATTAGTGAGGATGTGGAGCAACTGGAACTCACACGCATTGCTGGTAGGAAGAATATTTACTTTGATAAACAGCGTGATTGTTCCTCATAGAATTAAACATATACTTGCTGTATAACCTAGGTACTCTATTCCTAGGTCTGTTGGTTTTTCTCAAGATAGAGTATGTTTTCCTCAGGAGAAGGATGGCTCAGGACAGGCACAATGGCTCACGCCTGTAATCCCAGCACTTTTAGGAGGCCAAGGCAGACAGATCACTTGAGACCAGGAGTTCGAGACCAGCCTGGCCAACATGGTGAAACCTTGCCTCTACTGAAAATACAAAAAAAGAAGAAAAAAAAGCCAAGCGTAGTGGCAGGTGCCTATAGTCCTAGCTACTTAGGAGGCTGAGGCAGGAGAATCGCTTGAACCTGGGAGGTGGAGGTTGCAGTGAGCTGAGATTGCACCACTGGACTCCAGCCTGGGTGACAGAGCAAGATTCCATCTCAGAAGAAAAAAAAAAGATTATGGCTAGGCACGGTGGCTCACGCCTGTAATCTCAGCATTTTGGGAGGCCAAGACGGGCGGATTACTTGAAATCAGGAGTTGAGACCAGCCTGGCCAACATGGTGAAACCCTGTCTATACTAAAAATACAAAAAATTAGCCAGGCATGGTGGCGCACACCTGCAGTCCCACCTACTTGGGGGGCTGAGGCAGGAGAATCACTTGAACCCGGGAGGCAGAGGTTGCAGTGCACCGAGACCATGCCATTGCATTCCAGCCTGGGCAACAGAGCAAGACTCTGTCTCAAAAAAAAAAAGGATGACTCATATTTTACTTGTGTTGAGGAGAGATGGCTGAGGGGCAGGAGGAATCACTCTGAACCCGGAGGCAGAGTTCGCATGGCACGAACCATGCCATTGCATCCAAGCCCTGGGCACAAAGAGCAAGACTCTGTCCAAAAAAAAAAAGGCATGACTCTTTTTACTAAAAAAAAAAATAAAAAACAGGCCGGGCAGCGCGGTGGCTTCAGCGCTGATTATTCCCAGCACTTTGGGAGGCCAGACGGGTGGATCACAAGGTCAGCGAGATCAAGACCATCCTGGCTACACACGCTCCCATCTCTTACTAAAAAAAAAAAAAAAACTAGCCGGGCGGAGCGTATGGTGGGCGGGCGGCCTGTATGTTCCAAAAGCTACTCGGTGAGGCGGAGGGCAGGGGAGGATGGCGTTGACGGGGGAGGTGGGGAGGCTGGGCTTGTGTGTCTGTGATCCAGCCAACTTGCAACTTCCAGCCTGGCGGAAGAGCGAGAACTCCGTCTCAAAAAAAAAAAAGAAAAACAGCAGCCGGCACGGTGGGCTCACGCGCTTGGTAAATCCCAGGCAGTTTGGGGGAGGCCCGGAGACGGCGATTCACAAGGTCAGGAGATGGAGACGCATCCTGCTAAAGACGGTGAAAACCCCGTCTTACTAAAATACAAAAAATTAGCGGCACGGTGAGGAGGGGGTGCTGTAGTCCCAGGCTACGCGGAGGCTGAGGCAGTGAGCAATGGCGTCGCGCTCGCGCGCTCGCGCTCGCAGTGAGCCAAGATTGCCCCATGCCCTCCACCCCCTGGCAAGCAGGGGGGGGGGAAAACGGAGACTCCATCTCAG